ACACACACACACACACACACACACACACACACACACACACACACACACACACACACACACACACACACACTTCTCACTGATGAACATCTTAGGAACTATAAAAAAAATTGTGGCACCATGGTGCACTTAATTAATTCTTGTAGTCCCAAGGGTTACTTTACGTGCTGGCTTTGAAGCTCACAACACAATGATTAAGTGGCCTCAACTAGGGCATGCTTAAGGTTCATGGACAAAAACAAGAGGTGCCTCTAGGGACCAAAGCTTTTAACCCGTGCCTGCAGTAGGAGCCCTTTGACAAGCTGTCAGTTTTTCCCCGGGTCATTAGGACTGCTGAATGTTCATTTGATGCTATGAAGCAAGGAGCCTTGAACAAGTGCGAGATCAAAGGCTCCCCCCAAGCTCTGGCCCTTCTGCTCCGTGATTCATCGCACACTGTCGATGTGGCTTTCACTGTTAGCAAAACTAGAACACACTCTCGAAGCAGTTTTTTTTCTGAGAAATTGCTCACCACTGAGCAACAAAAGCTCAATGTGACCCCGGGAAGTATCTCTGAAGATTGTGGGTTAAATTTAAATGCAACACATCAGTGCACATCAGTGTAGGTCTGTGACATCCAATCAGCCTGCATGCAACAACTGCCAACTTTACTTATGACTAAACAATTGCGGCATGAGTTTGCATTCCAGGTGTGTTCTACAAATGTAGGAGGGCTCTGTCAGCACAAATCAGTGGGGTTTATCTAAGATCAAGTTGCTCACAAAGACATTCTGCTATGAAGCATTAGTACATATGTATGTTACAGTTCCAGATATGATTATACAATAATTTATATGGTCTCCTGGTCCTAGGCCATATGACTCACTAACAGAAGTAAGATTGCCACAGTGAACCCTTACCATGCATCCATGGCCAATTTAGAATCGCCCGTCCATGTTAAACCATGTTAAGTTTAATCTGGATGTTTTGAGAAATAGTACCTGACGCTCACACAGGCACAGGTAGAAAATGCAAACTCCACACAAAAAGCCTGGAGCCATCTTGCTGTGAGATGACATCACTAGCCACTGTCACCTTACTGTACATCACTGTCACATTTCTATGACAGAATAAATAGCAAAGATAGTAGCAGAACTGTAACTTCCAGGTGAAAAAGAAATACTGTCTAATTTCGGTTTCATTTATGCTCCAAAATAACTGTCCCAAAGGTATAGCTGAACAATATAACTTGCTTCTTCTTCTAGGCTAACCTGTCCTTCAAGCATGTATGCTGTCATTTTATGAAGTATTAACAACGTGCGTTATTCCTGGTGTAGATAAAAGAACTTCATTTCATTTGGACGTCTGTTTCAAGAGAACATCTTATTGCAAATCCAACATAAGAAAAAGTCTTAGTTTGGCTTTGTGAAAAGTGAAAGTAAGAAAGAGAATTCTGTACTTTTTGAAGTGTCATCTGCATCCAGGACCATCTGAAAATCATCAGGGGCCAAAAGAAGGCCCACAGCGACCAGGACGGGTCGAAAGTCTGTCTTATCTTGGGGCGGCATGTCTCTTGCCTGAGAAAGACATGGAAGAAGGGAATTAACTTGCAGACCAGACAGACTCTTAAAGCCCTTCAGCAACCACATTCAAGCAAAGCATATATTTTAAAAGTGAACTTATTTGAGCATATTATTAAAGCTCTAACACACCATACCCCGAAAGGTCAGGTATGTTTTAACTCAAAGTTCTTTAGCTTAACTAAAAACTCTTGTTTTCAGCAGCCTACTCTAAATGCGTTTTTGTTTGGTGTGTAATGTTACACAGTACAGATGGACAAGAAACCTGCTGCATAAGCATAGCAGCTTTATCCTCAATGCGGGAAGGGGTTTGGTAGAGGGTCTGCCTAAGCTGCAGGAGGCGGAAAGCTGAAGACAGGCGTTCTTGTTGTGTCCCATTGTCCAGCAGCATGGCTTTCTGAAAGTGAGTCAAAGAAGCCTCAAGGCGCCCCTCCTCCTCTTCAGTCACTGCCAGCTCTGAGTGGACTTGACAGCGCAGCTCCAACAACATACTGGAATAGTAACACACAATTAGTATGACTTAATACAGTCATGTAAAAAAGCAAAAGTAAACCCTTTCTAAATTCTGAGGTTCTACATATCAGAATGTAATAAAGTGGCTCTCAGCAGATTTTAAAATATAGAAAATACAGGTTCAGATGCACAACAACAACACATGATATGTTACATTGTGTCATTTTCTTTTAACACTAATGAATGAAGATAAAAATTAAGAAGCAGTTTGTAAAAAAACTCAGTACTGCCTTACTCTTTCCTTTCCAAGAATTAAGAGGGTGAGTAGCAGCTAGGTGCTGCTAATCAAATGCACTTGATTAATAAACCATCAGCAAGTGTGAGCACCTTACTAAAAGCAGAAGTTTTATCATTTTGTATGTCTGGAACATTCAGGTTTGTGCTAACAAAATGCCAAAGAGGAAAGGTATCAGGAATGATCTTAAAGCAGCAATTTTTCAGGGTGGGACGACTTATGAGGCCATTTCTAAACAACTCAAAGTCCATCATTCTACACGAAGCAGCTCACAGCAGCATGGTGATGAGAGGCCATGGGAAGTCCAATGAGAGTGCAGCATGCCAGTGAATGACTTTTGACAGGGTACTAAATATATTAGAGTTACCTAGGCAACTGTAGCCAGGAATTTCCACTAGTGATCAAATGGTAAATGACCTGTATTTGTATAGCGCTTTACTAGTCCCTAAGGACCCCAAAGCACTTTACATATCCAATCATCCACCCATTCACACACTGGTGATGGCAGCTACATTGTAGCCACAGCCGCCCTGGGGCGCACTGACAGAGGCGAGGCTGCCGGACACTGGCGTCACCGGGCCCTCTGACCACCACCAGTAGGCAACGGGTGGAGTGTCTTGCCCAAGGACACAACGACCGAGACTGTCCAAGCTGGGGCTCGAACCGGCAACCTTCTGATTACAAAGCAAACTCCCAACTCTTGAGCCACGATCTCCCTATCAACCACCAGGTCACTAATGTTGTGCAACAGGCGAATTGCTTCCTGCTCGCACATAGCTTCAGCTCGAAGTTGATCTCACCAGAGATGTCTGGTGATTATGCACAGTGCCACAGCTGATGAAAATCAAACAGAGCATATCAGAGCAATCACCTCAAACCTCACAACCTTTAAGCACAGTGGAGGAGGGGTGACAATTTATGCTTCTTTTGTAGTCCCATAACCTGGGCACTTTGGAGTCCCTGAGTCTACCATGTAGAGGGAGGGTCAAATGTGACACCATCTGTCCAGTAACTAAAGCTTAGACCACACTAGGTCATGCAACAGGACAGTGATCCTAAGCACACCAACTACCCAACAGAATGACTGAAAAAGAAAAGAATAAAGGTGCTGCAATGACTCAGTCATGACCCAATTCCAGAGCTCAACCCAAATGAAATACTGTGGCAGGACCTTAAAAGAGGTGTGCATTTATTTGCAATTTAAGGCCTTTTTATTATTATGTAATCTTAGAACTGACGGATTATGTACTTTTTTATCACCAGTATATATTGTGGAAGTAAGGAAATGTATAGGTCTGTGTAAACTGTGTGTGATTATTATTCTGAGCAAATAATGACTTTCTCATATCAAATCATGGCTAGACTGGAAGTTTCTAAGAGGGCAACACTCAGCTAAACATATTCAGTGAAACATGAGTACAATAACGAAAAGCAGCCCGAAAAGCTCCAGGACATGCACACAAGGCCATGATGATTATGTAAAAAGATGAAAACCTTTGTGTCTCTTCCAGTGCCTGAGCGACCCTGAGCAGAGGTGTCTTGATGCATTTTCTGAGGTTGTGCTGCAAGAGGGGCAGGCACAAGTTCCACTGTGTAGCGCACACTGCCTGCACAGCCTGAGGGCCCCCCTCCCTCGCTGCAGTCTGCAGCCACTGATCCAGCTTGCCTATCTCTTTCAGCCGGGCCTGTGGGATAACAACTACAGATTGAGAATCTCTCCTGTCGCAACGACGGCACAACACTTCCATCACTTGGCAAGCAAATTTGGATTAAAGTGGGCTGAATATGTTGTATGTGCCAGTTCTTAAATGTGACAGTTTTCACAGTAGTGTATAATGAGATTACATGATCCTACTTTCCAACATCGTTTTTTCTCATTACAGGGGAAAAAACTGCAGAACTTATATTAGGATGATTATAATTCAAAATCTTGACTTGTAGTTAGTCAGAGATACCTATTCAAGTCAGATCTCTGAATTTAATGACAATAAGCAAGCCATTTTACTGTAAAAAAATTATTAAATGAAGCATCTGCTAATGGATCTGCTGCTTTCACTCTAACATGAGGGTAAAACATATGGATGATAATTCAAACATATGGCCAAGCACCTCTACACTAGCTTTGGAATAGTCATTCATCTTCATTTCTTTCTTCAGGAGGTTGATTTCACCTTGGACACATTCCATTACTAAGCGTTGGCTAACACTCTAGAAAGACAAAAATAACACATGTGAGGTCAGGAATCAGAGGATGGGCTGAAAAATGTACAAATTTGTATCACCAGATTTTATACGGCAGAAGATCCTCCATATGCAGCATCATTAATTATGTTGTCATTCCACATAATTCACTCATACATACAAAACATACAAAGCATAAAAAAGAGATTGTATAAGTGAAATGTAGGGTCTATAAAAAATCATCTGATTTCAAAAGGTTAGAATTTTTAAACTTAAAAAAAAATTATCATTTTGAATGAACACAGAAGCTTGTGGTAAATTCTAAAAGATATGGGTAAAGGTAAAGTTTCACATGCAAAACTTGTACAGTGCTCACAAATGCTCAGTGTGTCTTACTTTTGCACGAATCTGCTCTTTCTGACAGTAGGAATCTCAGTCGCTGCTGGTGAACGGCTGCGGATTTAAATACACCCTGATACACCCTGTATGTTCTATATTGCTCAAAGAAAAATGCAGCATCTCTGTAACTTTTATTAATAAGCCAGATATTCCCAAAGTCTGGGCGTGGCCTCCTGGTATATCAGAAAAAGTTTACAGCCTTGCGAACACGGGTTCAGATTTGGGCAAAAGAAAAAGTTCACATTTCTAAATAGGCAGTGACAGACTTACAGTAACTTTGAGAATGCTAAGTTACTGTAAGTCAAACGCAATTAATCTCACGTATTGTCAAGGGCCTGTTTTTATTATTAACCTTTACTAGAATAGCTTTGCATGATTCACAGCTCAAAATAATCCTTATTTATTCTGTGCTTTCCCATCAATTTGTCCACTGTCTGAAACAAACTGCTTTAGTTCCCATCCTCCCTTATTTCTTCTGATTGGCGGCTCCTTATAAACAGAAGGTTTAAACAGTTTGGGGGTACTGCTTCTGTGGTCACAAAAATTAGGGATATGTGCTCTCACTGACATCACAGGGAGCCAAGAGTAGAAACAGCAGAGCAGTGAGAGCAGTCTAAAGCCTGAGTCCCGGTTTAAAGTGATTAACTGTACGTATGCTAACCTCATTATTTAAACGTTACATAAGAGCACTCACCATTGTACCTATGACAAAAAATAAGGAAAGGCATAATAGGTCACAGTTAATGTCAAACCCATGCATAAATTTGCATATTTGTAAACTGTGTGCAGTTACATCTTCTGCCCCTACTGCCCGAGGTTTTAAGAGAATATCGGACACTCACAGCTTCTCCCGACGACTTTAGCTCTTTCAGACAGTCGGCAGCTACTTTCTGATGCTTCACTTGCAAGGCCAGCAGAGCCAACTCCAGGAGGAAGGCAACTCTGCAAATCCCAGATAAAACATAATTTATACAATTCACAATCCTTCAGTACAGTAATCTGAGACATGTACTGCCCCTGGGATAGCCATGTGTGGGTTTATGGTAGAGAGAGGTTTAGGAAGAGAACAGGGAGCAATAAAAGGTAATCTCGCAGGAGATTTGATCCGGACACTTTAGGTCACAGACCTGTCAGATGGCTGGATGGGTGTTGAGCTCTGAAGAGGACTGGAGTTCAGAGGTGTAGCAGGCTCTTTGCTACAGTCCACCAAGAGATGGAAAATCTCCTCAAGCCTAGTAGAATTCTCTTTTGTCAGCATGTCCTTGTTAAGTCCTCCCAACCTGCTACAACATCAGGAAAACTCTCTTTACATTAATGTACATGCATGTGAGCATCCAGAATTAAACTGATACTTTCATTTGCCCTTTAACAGACTCACACAAAACAGTGCATAAACCTTAGGCTAAATAACCTATATGGTGCTGACGATGGCCGAGTCTGACTTAGTCATGCTGTCACACTGAAATGAGGAGCCATAAGGAGCTGTGACATGTCGAGTACATGCCTGCAGAAATGGGCTGGGGGATGGGACTGTACAAGAATACGCCACACCAGCAGACATGGTACTGTACTACAAATGTGTTCAGGCCAGCAGAAAAACATGGCTGCCACAGGATGCGCTGAGAGCCAATGGATAATGGACCCGCTGACCTATGTCTCCCAGTTTTTAAATGTATCTGGAGGCATAAAAATTTTAATATAAAAAAACCCCACAATAAAATCCTCACTCTAAGCGCTACATCTTAAGATAACATTGCAAAGAATAAAATAAAGACATATGTAGGTTAGAAACACGGAATACTAGATTTAAAAATTTTAGACCTTTAAACAAGATCATAACTGATCAGGTTTAGGACTCAACCTGCCTCTATTGTTAGAAGCATTGTAAAAACAATAAACATGCAGTCAATCAGAAAAGCCTGCTTTCAAACAGTTTAATCTCCAAAGCAAGCATTTCTGGAGCAGATCAAGTGCTTCTTTTTGGTGACACCGTACATCTTGTTTTTCCTAGCGACAGATAAAAATGCAAACGACTTTCATCCTGACAGCACAAAAACGACACTTTCAGCAAAACAAACCCTCCAGCAAAAAAAAGCAAACATTTATATGAATGTAACTCAGAAACTTACTTTTTTAATTCCTGCATTTTGTAAATGACTGCTAACGTAGTGCATTCCCTGCTTGTTTCCAGGAGGACATCACTGTCTGACAGCTGGTGTCGCACCTAAGAAGAGTGAAGTCGGAAGTTATGCTTTATTATCAGGTTATGACAGGGTTGAATTTTATGATTAATGTCAACATCAAGGAGTTTAGCGAGCTATTGTTATGCATGTAGTGCTAATAAGACTCCTGAAGACATCTGAATGGTGTATTTTCATATTATAAGACTTGTATAAAGATACAATTAAAGTTTAAATAGCATTCGTTCTGAGGTCTGATACATGGCAATCTTAATGCCCCCAAGGGTGAATCAGAAGCTCAACCATGAAACATGAGCCAATCATGTTGCTGTGTTGAGTAGGTATCAACACGCTTATTGTTTTTTTTTTTGTGTTACTGCATCTATAATGTCTACTCTAATTAATGCTTTGTTAACTGCTCTGTCGGGACAAGCCAGAGATCTGGACACGTGTTGAATTGGACACGGACAGAAGTACAGCTCTAAACTTTATTTGGGGCAATGTCACAAACCTTTAAGGTAGTTTTACAGAACTTTAATAAATTTATTAGACCACTTCTGTGTAGATATATCAATATCTACTTAAAAAGTATCCACCTAAAAAGTAGATATTGAGGATATATTTAGTTATTACTGAATGTATAAGCAACCAAAAACTGCCATGAAAGCAACATGCTGTGTTTACCAATAAAGTAAAGAGTCCTGGGTAAAGTTTTGGAGTATGCGACTTGATGAATTCTTCTGTAACTTTTGCAAAACTTGTTGCATCCTCAACCTTCTTTGAGTCCACAAGACATTTGATCAGGTGCCTGAGCAGAAACAGAGACAGAGAGCAAACATGTGGGCATGTGTCAGTGCTATTAGCCATGTGCTCAGTTTTTCTATGCTACTGAACATTCAATTTAATTAATATGCCAACAATCAAATAACAGCCTTTCTTTTCTGAAGCTTGTCATGTTCACACTTGTGTGGCATGAGCTATCTGATATTACTGTGCTGGTGTTGTTACTACAACATAAGTCATGTTATTCAAGGACTATCTTAGGGAAAAAGACAGCAGTGGGTGAAGGTGCCTTTAGGGCGTTCTGGCAGAAAAGCTTTCTGACAAAAACACTCTAAAGTAGAAAGGCTTTCAGAAGTCAGGGCTACAAAGTTAATGTGAGGAGTAGGTTGGTGGTGGATGTATGGATCCGCTTCACCTGACAGACTGGGTATTTTGTTCTGTGTAAAACCAAAAGTCAATGTTCACTTTTATTTTCTTGTACTCAGTTCAAGAATATTTCTATTATTTCAGTTTAAGTTTGGGTTGGTTTAGGAAAGGACTGTGGTCTGGGTTGAAACTGTGCTCGTCTGTGGATGCACACAAAACACTAGTCACAACTACAATGTGACATTGATTTTCCTGAGGCAACATATATAAATATATATATATGTATATATTTATCCCACCACAGGGATATCAGACAATACTTGCCTCCATGGTCAATATATAGCTTGGGTTTTAGACTTCCTGTCATACTAATACTAATATTAATGTACATAATATAGCAACATAATGAGCCAAATTTACTAAAGGGAGCAAAATAGCATGCAAGTGCAATCACCAAATAGGCCAAATTATGGGCGTGGTTAGTTTTATGGGTGATTTTTAAACACAGACACAGTCAGTTCATTTTTGAGAATTAAATTTTAGCGCAATTGTCAGTAAATTGTGTGGCAAACATTTGTCAATCGGTTTGCATGCTTGATTTAAATCTTCTTCTTCCTAATTTTTTACCTGAAGAAACAAATTTCCAAGAATACAAACTGTTATGGAAATTTTAACAATAACCCTCCAACACACCCAGTGAGCTTGATTTGAAGTGGGTTTAATTAACACATTGCAATGTGGAGAGAGCATCCCAGTGAAACACCAGGATCATCTCTGAATTTTGGCCACCGCCCTTACATCTTATATACAGAGACACAGACAAAGAACATTCCACAAATGTGGAGGGGGGCTATACCTTCTCCCTCACAGAGAGAATTATGACCTTGTTTTCTGCTTGGCCATCACCTAAGGATTTACATCCCTGATAAGCAGAAGGAGTCCCACTATCTGTTTAACGTCTCCCATCACAATGGCCTCACTGTGTTAACATTCCACATGCATGCAAACTAGTGACAGGGGTACTCTTAATATAGTAAAGTGAGAAAGTGATATTACTATAACTAATGTGATATGATTAAATATGTGATTAATACATGAGAGAAGAAATTTGCCTCCACAAAGCACAACAGGATTAGTTACAAAAGTCTCACACACAGTCTGGTCATCATGCTCCCTTTGTAAGTGCCAACAGTACTTTTTTTCCACACCAAACCCCAGTTTGCACTGGTGCAACGCATTAGTAAATCTGAGTCTTTAACTTATACAAATCAACCCATATATGGGTAAATGCAATGCATACAGCTGTGATGGAACATTTCACAACCAATGGTAAACTGGACATATTTTTCGTATTCTTATAATAGATGTAATGTAGCACGCCATGCTAATCTCATTATATTTATCATTGGGGCGACCGTGGCTCAGGGGGTTGGAAACGCATCTGTAACCAGAAGGTCGCCGGTTTGATCCCCGGGCTCTCTGTCCTGGTCGTTGTGTCCTTGGGCAAGACACTTTACCCTCCCGCCTACTGGTGTTGGCCAGAGGGGCCGATGGTGCGATATGGCAGCCTCGCTTCTGTCAGTCTGCCCCAGGGCAGCTGTGGCTACAACCGTAGCTTGCCTCCACCACTGTGTGAGTGTGATTGAATAGTGGCATTGTATAGCGCTTTGGGTGCCTTGAAAAGTGCTATATAAATCCATTATTATTATATCTGTCACTGCCCAACATTATATATATGAATGATACATTTTTGTCCTCTGATCAAAGATAAAACTAATATTTTTTTTGAAAAATGATTAAACAGATACTTGACTCTATAGAAGAAAAAAAGCAGCCCATTAACTGAGGCTAGATGAAGCTGTGGTCATAAATAAACTGCTGGTTAATAAGCTCAGTTCATTATCTCTATGAATTTTCAATGAGTATGAACCAAAATCACAACTGGACATATTAATGAGGTCTAAGTAAGAGAGCACTTGCATCATGAGTTCAGCCCTCCAGCTGTGGTCGTGGTCTGCCACCTCCTCCAGACTCTGCACCACCTGCCTGAGAGAGGGCACCAGGTGGAGGCTCCGCCCTGGCTGTAGGAGAGGTTGCACTGTCTGGTAGTACAGCACCGAGGCATTGAACACCATAAAGTGAAGTCTGTAAGGCACAAATCAAATGCAGAAGAAAGTAAACACCGAGCAATGAATTATTTATGTGATACACTTGCAAGCCATTTTATCTCTTAGTACGACTCAATTCAAACCAAGTGTCAGCTCTCTATGAGGAAGTCCTGTGAATTCCAAATGTGTGTGGATTAACAATCGACCAATGAGCCACAGGAGAGCGGCCCGCTGAATCTTTTCGATGTGAAATAAGTGGAATTTATGAATTTAAGCTGCAGTTTTAAAGAAAACTCTGTGAAGAGACTGTTTGAGCGCTCCTAATTTATTCACCAGAGTGTGTGCTGTCCATTAGTGTGGGCTGCTTGAATTAGATATGTATTCCTTTGGTGTTAATTGGAATTCCTCATTGAGCCTTTTTATTGACAGGTTATGAGTTCATTAGCAAAGAAAACCAGTGCTCATTGCTTACAAAGGCTAACCGAGTACCTCCAAACGCATCCATCAAAGCAAATAACAAGGGAATGCATCTGTCACAATTTCTATTATTGCATCGATATGTGCATCACCCGTTTCACCCTGCTCACAGATGCATCCAGTCAGCTGTTAAAATTGAGATGAAAACACATTGAAAATGTTCTGCTTGTGAATAAGGGGTCGGGGTGAAGCATGAAAAATCGTGTTATATTTGATTCTTCTTCGTAGCATATTTCTGCGCATCAGACAGAGCCTAACCTATCACAGCTAAACAACATTCCCTGGTGAGAATGTCTGGCTTTCATTACGTGTTTTACCAGCGCACCTTACCGCTGTGGCAGCAACTGCCAAATAATATCAGAGATGATCAACTGTACGCAACAGAAAATGGTCATCCATCTTTCTCGACACTGTAACAACAAAGCCGAGCATACTCGAGGTTGCATACCTTGGTTCTTGCTTTGAAATCTCAATTGCTTTCAGAAAATACACCACAGCCTCCTCAAAGTCCTCCTAAAATAGAAAATGATGCAAAAAGGGGACATGAGAACCTGTCAGAACATGGAAGCATAAAAACAATGACAAACAGTTTAGCAAAAAAAACAAAATTTAAGCTGCACTCAAATGTAGCAAAGGCCAATATTTGTTTGAGACCGAAGAAGCATGGTAAAACCGCTGGAGTTTGTTTGCAAAGCTGCTGCATGTTTTTAGTGCAAATGAGTACAGTATGCCGCTACAGTAATTGCATGTGTATATATCTCTGGGGCGCAGAAACACACACACACACACAACGCCCTTGAGGGTATGTGTCCAATTTACTGTCCTCACCACACTCCCCGTGGCCGGCGGAGACTTCAGCTGGCCCTGGCAGAGGTAGGCTCGACACAGAAATTGATTAGCCGGCGGATTCCCTTCAAAGTACATCTTTAGACACGCTGTGCTTATCTCCAAACAGCCCATCTGAAAACAGAGAGACAGAGCGGCACAAAGGCCAGAGAGAAAAAGAAAAAAAATTCAGCCTCATCTGCAGTTAGATCGTGTAACCGGCAATTTTCCCTGTATGATGCATTATTAAAAACTATTGCGAAAGGGCTTAATGTATGGGGAGGTGCACATTTATTTTTTGCACGACAAATTAATTCCATGCTGTTTTACAAACTGCCTCCTGTTAATTGTAAAATTAATTCAAACTCAGCAGCTTTATACTCAGTGATGTGCAGCACTATCGTGGAAGATGATCATGCAGCAGAAATTTTTGTTCTGCAAGCTTTTATATGTGTTGTGAAGAACAACAAGTCAGGCTGGAAGATCACTGAATAAGTAAAACCTGACAGTAATGAGCAATGGATTAGTATGTTAGCAAATGTCTTAATACAACAGGAATATTTATGCTTCTCTGGAAAATTGAAGAACGGAACTGTACTGCGGATGAAGACTAATTCAGCATTCACTGACACTTAAGTCTTCAGGCTAAGCTGCATTTTCACAGAAAACTTGCTGCGTGATATAAAGGAGAGAGAACAAATCACATTATGGAATATCCCTGTGTTTCATTATACAAATATGTTTCCCTTGCCTTAGGACAGCTCAGCCTGTATTAGTGAATATTCATTGCTATTCCCTACTGGGAAAATAGCTCGATTAGAAGAACTAAAGTTACTACACGAAAACAGTGACATAATGAAACGAGTCCTCCAGCAGGGAGGTCCTGCCGGCTTTTTTATTACCTTGATTTTTCTATATCAATACCTGTAGATACCATCAGCAACAAAGCACTGATGTTAATCAACAAACAACCCATCCAAATGTCTAGGACCTGCTTTATTTTGAAGCTTTAATAATTCAGGAGCTTTCACAGATGTAGCAGGCATTTACTTATAAAATGTAAGCTCCACATCTTCACAGTCAGATGCCAACCTTTTGTTCTAGGAGGCTGCTTGAAGCACCATGTCTTATGCCACAACTCAGCAGTCAGGAGCTTCTCACATCATAAAAAACGCTTCTCACAGCAGTTGAAAAGCAAGGTTGCAGGCACCTTCAGAGAATGTGTGTTCTCATTATAGTCTTTCATACAAAGAAATTCAGCCTGTCTGATTCTGATGCTGACTGTAGGTTAATACGCACACATCTAAATTTGATGTATTCACTGATCTACCAACATAAACCTGGTGAGATTTTAAGTGATATGTGCGTGCGAACAACCTGACATAGTAGTGGTGGATAAGGCCGAATGATAGATGTGGCTATACCAGGTGATAGAAACATCAGGAAGAAATAAAATGAGAAGCTCAAGAGGGATGAGAGAAGCTAGAGAAGATGTGGAAGGTTAATGCACCAGTTGTCCTTGTGGCAATTGGAGCACTTGGTACAGTAACTCCCCCAAAACTGGGTGAGTGGCTTCAACAGATACCAGCAGCGAGAACTGAGATTTCGGTCCAGAAGAGTGCAGTCCTAGGAACAGCAAAGATAATGCACTGGACCTTCAAGCTATAAGCCTCTGGTAGAGGACCTGTGCTTGAAGGATAGAAGACCATTATATATTAGTAGTAATAATAGTATTTTGTATTTTGATTCAACTTGATAACCCAAAATACTTTTTTTTATTTTGAGAGAGGAACTAGAATGGAAACACATACAATGGAAACAAACAACAATGGCACATAACATTTTTTTGTTATGTGCCATGTTTTCATCACATTTAGAAGAAGTAATGGTAGTCTGCAAAGTCATTTTAAGGTAATTTTGCCCCCTCCTGTAGCTTTTAGCCTTTCATCCAAAAATACAGATGTTTGTGCAGAAAGTACAGGGATTCATAAATTAAAATAAATACACTTATCTACAATATACGTTACGAACAATAGCTACAAGCATAGCCTGTTATGAGACATAATGTAATCAACTTGGTACTCTCTGATTCTCCAGTTACGAAATAAACAAGAAGAGTAATATAATTCAGACTAATTTAGCATACACTAAAGCATTAACATGTAATACTCAGTACCTAATTGATAAAATAAGATTAGCACTTCAACTATTTTTTTTTCTTTTGTTTATTTCCAACTCATCACCTCGACCCTGGTGGCAAAACGATCATCAAGTGAATTCTTCATCAACAGCTTCGACAGTAACTCCTCATCCTCTCTCACCTGTAGCCCAGCTTCGGCGCACAGGACGCACCACTCCGGATCAATGCGTGGAGTTCGTCCGCCGGTTCCAACCACTGCTGCTTCCTTGATTAAATCGTAGGCTGACTGCAGAGCTCCACAGTCTGCATGTACGAAATAAACACAGTAAGCTTGTTTTCACAACTCTTCATTTACTTAACTGACTGCGCGACAAACCTTTGTTCTCTTTAGC